TATATATATATATATATATATATATATATATAATGATATATATTCATTATTGTGTTATTTTTACACGTAAGAACCCATAAAAAGATTCCACTCTTAACATAACATAATAATTACAATATATTACCTTGTGCATTAAAATAATTTTAAATAATAATCTCGATGAAGTGAGGGTCACTATGATTTCATTCTTATGAAAGCAGAATATATGCGCGCGTGTGTGTGTATGTGTTATTTTAAAAAAAATATTATACCTCGTTAAAATGTATTAAACATACAAAGTTTTAAGCCATAACAATATTAAACATAATTGTCATTAAAGTTTACGAAATATATTCGTTAATCATATTAACTCGTAAATATTATAAGAATGATAATAATGACAGTTCTATATTATAATAAGTTAATATTAACTATATATGATTACAAGGTTAATAAAATAATTACAAATCGTTACTATATAATACGAGTAAATCAAGTCCAAGAAACCATAAAGTTATTTTCTAATATAATTTACGAAAGTAAAACAATTAATCGAACAATATTTACTTAGTAAAATTGTTTGTACTAAAATAATCATAAAGCATGAAAACGAAATTTGAATCCTGTTAAATATAATTTTGAAACCATGAATTATTTTAAATATCGGTTTAAAAGAAATGTTTTCATTTTTCATTTAGTTTGAAAATATAATTTAAGATAATCAAATTAGTAGCTAATAAATTAAAATTAATAGTATAATATTATTTATAGTATAACAATAAGCAATTTCGTAGTTATGATTTTAAAGAAAACAAATAGTGATAACAATATAAATTAATTCAGTAAATAAAGCACAAATTAACAATAAATTAAGTGCTTATTATGAAAATAATTAAAGGTCCAGTTTAAAACTACCAACCAATGTTCAAAAAATTATATGATTTTTTAAGTAAAATACGAATTAACACAAACAAATAAAAAATTCAAGGTACTGAACAACCGCATTAATATATTTATGTATGTTTGTATGTGTGTGAATATAAGTATTTCCTCGTCTAAAACAATTGTTTGAAACTAATTGTATTCGGATATAATATATTATAACATATATAGGTAGTTCTATAAATCACATAAAAAACAACTGTTGTAACAATACTCCAATACTCGGGACAAAATTAAATACTTATTCCACAAAAAGCATTATTAATAATTGTAGAATTGATTATTTTTACAATAAGATAAACGTAAAATAAATCTAAAAAATTTCAAACATACACATTAAATATTATATTTAAAACAATAGTACATACATGTATTATTGTTATAAATTAATTTTCAAATCGCCAGAAGTGTATAAAGTACAATATTAAAAAAAAAACATACAACTACATAATATGCATGTATATTTTCAATTCAAAAGCTTAACTAATTTAATTTATAAAATATAGCTTACAAAATATGAAATAAAACACTAAATTTATTTTATACGCAAGTACAGAAATTATTGAATTTGGAAGGAAAAATAATACTTTAGTTAAATTAAATTGATTGTTAAAAATTAAAATTAATTTTACTGTATTATTTATCACTGAATATCAAAAAGTTTTTAGTCAATTGCTTAGATACACATTTTAATTTTATTTTCTTTACATGACGTTAATGTGATTCAGATAGTAAAATTTAATTTCCCAATCAATTTTAATAAATAATTAAATTCTTCTTCGTATTTTAAATAAAGTTTCGAAGAAAAGTCAAGTACATTGAAAACTATCTAAGACATGAAATTACAAGAGACTAGAGAAATTATCAGTTTAATTTTTAACAGAACTAAATTAAAATTATATTTAATACAGAATTTCTTTTTTGACAGGTTTTCTTTGATTACTTAAAAAATTAAAAAAATAAAGATTGTTTATTCAATAAACTTACAATAGATACCTACACAAAGTAACAATGCAAGGTAATTTTTCCTTTGCTTAATAATAATATATAAATATTAAAGAAAAATTAACATTTATCTTATATTTAAATTACTGTTATTTAGTGTTTAAAGGAATGATTAATCGGGTTAATAATAATTAGTTTACTCTATTTGCCGAAAAGTAGTTAATTTTTTTATTTGAGGATTCAGTTAGGTGACCTCTATATATAGTACCAACTAACGACGGCGAATAACATAATTGTGGTTTAACTATAAATTTATAACAGTATCCAAAACATAGGTTTAATACAACAATGAATGTACAGTCTCTAAGTCTATATAACATTTGAAATTTTATATATGTGGACTAAAAACGGTACCTCAATGCAGTTTACCGCGGTAAAAGTCATAGTATAAACAGATGCTTAGCGAAAATATTAGGTCAATCGTCCTGGGAATTTAGATTATGTATTATTACACAAATAACGAAATCGTTCAAGTAAGACCGTTAGATAAATTTTCATACCTAGCTACAAGTGTTAAAGGCCAGTACAATTTGTTTTAAAACAAAAGAACATCTCATGACTTCTTGTAATGGAAATTAAAACAAATTATAAAATACAATAACAGATCTTATATCATCACGAATATAATATAATACGTCGGATCAGTATTCCTCTAGGCGATAAAAGTAAAAGCTCTACCCGAGATGTCGAAAGAATTAGTTCGTGCGTAAATGAAAGTGGTATTTGTGTGCCAAAATAAACGATTGCACGGAGAGAAAAATTGTACCGTAATATCTTCCGCAAAAGTATGATTAACATTAATCAGGCAAATTTACGAAAATAATAATAACCCTCGAGAGAATGGCTTCATTGAAAAAAAAACTGTATCACAATGAGAACGTGACAAAACCGGTCGGGTGAAAGGCATTTTTCTTACGTGTTCCGAGTTTGATCGAAAATGCATTCGCACTAATAAATATAAAATATTGTTATTATTTTCGTAGACAATTAAACGAACTAAAAATATTTACTTCCGGCCAATAAAATTGAAATCATCATCAACGGTCAAGAATGATAAAATGTTTTTTAAGATAAAACTCCCACGCACACACCTACATTTGCCGTAGTCTAACGGTATTGGTCACTATTTTTAAGTATGCAAAAACGCAGACAAAAACACGTGGCACTGAACCACATATTTTTTAGATGTAATTTTTTACTGTTTGCATGCATCTAAATAATTGTAATGTACTGAACTCGAATACAATATTAGAAATACGTGAGAATCATTTTTTAATAGTATACTAAAAATTTGATTACACTAAATAATTTATTATGTTTGATATCACATAAACTTGAACAATTTTATGACAAAATTTATTTTTGTACGTATATTATTGACATATACATTAAGTATTATCAATATTTACTATTTACGTAACATAATATAAATTGTGAATATAGATAATTTGAGACAAAAAAATATTGAATAGACGTATTTCAGAGAAAACTATTATCTTTAAAAAGTTTAAATAAGACTATATAGTCAATAGTGCGTATAAGTCAACTAAAAAGATAATGTGAGAATAACATGAGTAACGGGTAAAATAAAAAATGTAATCAGGGATTTTAGAATAATAAAATAAGCTTAAAAACAAGAACCGTTTTATTTTAAGAGTAACGTACAGACAAGTTAGAGAGAACTATACTAATCTAGTAGAAATTACAAAACAAAAAAATACAATTCAATAAAATTAAATTTTAAATACTAATTGATCCAATCACATATTAATTATTTTTTAGGCTGATAAATGATATCCAGTACCAATTGAATACAAGGGCTCCAAAATAACAAAACATTTATGCTAGCTTGTGATCATGAATACAAAAATTAAAATTTATTAATTCATGATTTGTAATTTAGAAATTCGCAATTTCTTCTAACTAAGCTAGGTGATTACATTTTATTAATTAAGATTAGATTGTTCTGTGATTTTCATTGAAAATACCCTATGATTAAAAAATAATATTCAAAACTTTATTTTTAATAAAAAACTTAATTTTCATCTAATTTTACGAAGACAACATTTCAAATAAAAAAAAATACCGGAATTGATGATTAACAAGATTACAACAAACTTGATTAGTCGTGTCTATAAGCTAATTAATGACGAATTAAATTAAGATTATTCAAAATAAACGGTTAAAAGTTTATTATTTATAAATTTTATACTACCTATTACATAAATTAATAATAAAATTAATCATGACTTTTGAAATTATAATATATTTGGAAAAAGAATAAAATAAAAAATGTTATTTATTGTTTGTCATATTTATAAATATATTTAACATTAAACTAGGCTTTAATTAAATCATAAAAGCATAGTACTTTAATATTATAATTTTTATTTATTATAAATGTGTTAAGTTAATTATAAGACTATTAAATACCATATAACTATCTCAAGAATTAAAATTAAAATTAATTGTTAGAACTTTGGAACGTTAAACTTTGAACATAAATTCTACACTAAAATTCAATAAACTATACAAAATATTATTATTGAAATTGTACTTCGGTAATAACTATTGATAAC